CATTAGGGTTTTTATCCTAAATATTTACCCCCTAAGTTTAATGGCGTGAAAAATATAGCCTAAAGCGTGACGTAAGTCTAGGGGTTTTTATTAAAACTAGAATTATTCAAAAATATGCTGTAATTGCAGAAATCTTAGGTAACAAAGTAGTGTGTGTTTACGCTTTATTATAATAGTATAGATTTTCGAGCAGTTTCTCTTCATAAAGCAATCATATTTGCTTCGTAATTAATAACATAGAGAGCCGGTTTACCACCATGCAGAAGACCTAATTTTCTTACTTTTTCCTCCCACTGTTTTCTTAAGAAAAGGAAGAAATGGTTTTGACGGAAAGGACGGATAGAGAAATATTCTCTTTCCGTCCGCCTCCTCCTCTTTCGAATAAATATAGGCAACGAAGATGTGTTTGTGTATATCTAGGAGCAGTCGCTTTTTCAGCAAATTTAGGTGGCTTGCTAGTTATCTTGTGATATTAAAAATTTATACTTATTAATCTACTTATAACGTAACTAGATGTGCATAATATTTTGTATTATTTTTTCCTTTATTACAGTACCCGCGGTTGGTGGTCGGCTGCACTTTAAATTTCATGCTCCGTTCGCTGTTGTTAATTATAATTTTAACTCCTGATTTATCACTAGCACGATCACTAAACAACATTTTTAGTTAATTCTGAGTTGAGATTATGTTGTTTATGTTCTATTTTGTGAAATTAATTTATTTTAATTATTTATTTTCGCGTCGAATTAAAAAAATGAATAGCCTTTGTGTTCTTCCAGACTATTCTCTACATCTATACCAAATTTCATCGAAATCCGTTTAGCCGTTTAAGCTACAAACTCTACAAACATCTATCTAAACTTTCGCATTTATAATATTAGTATGATTAGTATGATTGTTGGGTCTTTTGTCTTCTTCAATTTACTGTCTAGGACATCTACATTAGCGATTTCTCGGCTAGATTTAAGTTTAAGAGAAACCTCTAATTTTACTCATACAAATGTATTTGTGGTTACTGATGTTTTACTTCTGTAGTTAATTTTAGCCTTGAGTTTTTTCTCCAAGGTCTCTTATTAGTTCCTTTATCCTCATATTTTGTAAGTTCCATAAAAATTGCGGACAAACGAGCAAATTATGCATACGTATTAAGATATGTATCGCAGATAAATTTTATTACGCTCTGATATATGTACTGTACTGCTGTTTTATTTAAACGTATGCCAACTATTGACGTAAGGTATATATGAGAATACTAGCTTTCGCCGGCGACTCTGTCCGCGCGGTTTACAAAAAACAAAAGCAAATAGCCTATGTGTTCCAGACTCTCCTTTAAATCTATGCAAAATTTCACCGAGATCACTTCAGCCGTTTAGGCTACAAACTCTAACAAACATCCATCCATCTAAACTTTCGCATTTATAACATTAGCAAAAGTAATATTTATTTCAGGTTAAAATACATTATTTAAGCATGATGACAAATCGGGTAATTAATTAAGCAAGGCGTAAAAAATTTTTAGAGCTGGCAGTTGAGACTGTAGTGCGATTGTCGATTGTTTTGCAGCCCATTCAACTGTTTAGTTGCACAACTAAAAATCGTGTAGTGTGTACACCTCCATATAAGGTCATAGGAAAAACAGTTGTGCGATAGTTTAGTCAAAGGTGTACGCACTCTTAAATTAAACGCAAAATGTGGTGTCTGTTATTTCGAATTATTCTTACAAGAGTTTTTTGGCACTAAAAACTGTCACAGTTTCAAAACAGAACATCTAACTTCCCAACGAGAACCAGAAGCTACGAACTAATTGATCGATGTTTTCAATCTAAATTGATATCTATTGATTTGAACTTGTCTCGTTTTAAATTACAAATTGTTCTGGAACTTACGATTGTTTTTATTTTAGGACACTCTGTATGCAACTTTAATTGGATAGTATTGTTTATGCGATTTTTAATGTTGACTTTCTTTTGTTCACAGTGGAAGTCGCGATGGTGTGTTATGAGGAAATTGTCACCAGTCGCAGGTATGTTGTTTATTATACGAGTACTAATGTCTTAACTACTAGCTTTCCGCAACTCCATCCGCGTGAAATTTTAAAAAATGACAATTGTCCTATTTGTTCATCCAGATGACGCCCTACCCTTGCCAAAATTTAATCTAGATCCGTTTAGTAGTCTAGTTTACAAAGTCTTACAAACATCCATCCATATTAACTCTCGCATTTGTAATATTTTGTTTTATACAAAAAAAATACTCAGGAATGTTTTTTTTTCTAAATCTTGCGTTTAACATTAGAGAACATAGAGACCTTAAGAGACCAATAATTAAAAAAGGATTAAAATTCTCCACAAACAGGGATATTTATAAGAAAATATTGTTGAATTCGTATCTAGTATACTCAGGTATAATCGATGCGAACGACGACAAAGTTCTATCAATAAAGAGTCCCGAAACAAATTTATTTTGTCGACTAATCCGCGTCGGTAGAGGGCGCCATTAAGCATGGAGGGGAGATAAGCAGCAGTAATGTTTCGCCGCAAATACTGCCTACACCTTAGGGGAGTGACGGCTGAATACTGAAACGAAATTTAAACATCTTAAATACGCTTAAATACGTATCTTAAGACTACGCTCAAACTCCTTACAAATTTTGATGGCTATCAGATTGTGAGCTTGAAAATTCGTTTCAATATTTGGCAGTAAGTTTTGAAATTGCATTCTTAAATTTACTATTATTTAGCTTAAAGCCAATAAAAATTACTTTCTGATATAAATAAAAAAAAATAAAAAAGGCCTTTATTGTTGTTCTTAAATGGAAATATTGTTTTAAATTTTCAATTACATGCTATCTAATATTTAGATATTTAGGGAGATTCCATGTGATAATCATAATGATAAACTAAAAGAAACCTAAGCTTAAGTTACACAAAAATTGAATATTAAAAAAAAATAAAAAACAAAATTATTTATGATAGATATAAAAAATATGTCCACTAATTTTCTAACTCACTGATATAATCATATTTGATCATACTTCTTACTTACATACTAATATTATAAATGCGAAAGTTTAGATGGATGGATGTTTGTTAGAGTTTGTAACCTAAACTGCTGAACGGAACTCGATGAAACTTGGCATAGTTGTAGAGGATAGTCTGGAAGAACACATAGGCTACTCACTTTTGTTGTTTTTTAATGCACGCGGACGGAGTCACGGGCAAAAACTAGTTATATTATAAACGCGAAAGTTTGGATGTATGAATGTTGGACATAGTATGGAAGAATTTTTTTTTTAATTTCGCAAAGTTCAAAATATAAAACTACATGTATTTACCTTCTACAATTTGACTCACAAATGCTATTACTTGGAATCCCAGTTCCTAAATTTACGTAAATACGTTCAAAGAAATATAATTTGTAAGAGGAAATACGGAGCAAGGTTTGCTTGCAATGTCACGAAAACGAAATATTTTATCAGAATTGTCTGAGTATTATTTTGACTGCAGGAAAATATCTTATACTTGTGTATAAAAACGAGGTAAATCGTACCATAATCTAAAAACTTCGTTTTAAACGGATTTTTAAATACATTAACATATTAGTTTAATAAAAATAAAAATTGTAAAGTATTGTTATTTCCAGCTTTGTAAGACAATGTATAAATTTTACTTTATTCGTTTTGCTGATCAAAGTTCTTCACTCAAGTCAATATAATAACATGACTAAAGGTAATTTCCTGTACTTAATTAACAAACTTAGCCGTGCAGTTTGCTTAAGACTTAAGTATCGCCTCAGGCCGAGCTAGTCCTTATCTTCATGTCACCGTTAGATTGTACAATGATAGTTTTCAAAATTACTGATTCAGCAAAGGACCGTAATTGTAATAAACATAACTAGTATGTTTTATGTTACAACAAAGTATTAGTTTACTTTTAATTATTTATTTTCTACAGTTTGTCATCTATTGTTATAACAAATCTTACTTAAAAATCCTATTAAATTTTTCAACAGACGCTATTTAAAATGACCAAGTTCATAGTATGACGGTGGCACATATAAATTAGTCGTATCTAGCGGGGCCGCGTGTTGGAGATATCTGAGTGCCAGACATTTAATTTCCTGTCTGTCTCACTCCGATTTGAGGTGTAATAAAAAATCTACCCCGATATAGGGGTGAGTTTTACTGACAAAGAAATTATGGCTTCTCTGGCCCCACCGTTTGAAGCAAAATTTTGTCAGATAGGTTAAAAATATTATCATATTGTTTAAATAAACGTTTAACAATTTGAATTACTCGTAAAATAAAAACTTTAACTGTTTAAAAGCGACCTAAAATTAAAAATAAATAATAAACAAACGAACTTAAACAATCTGTACATATAAAGTCACTAACCTTTTTCTGTTTAAAATTACACTAGCAACATAGTTTAAAAAAAACTTAATAAGTTGCCTAAATGTTCTTCCAAACTATGTTCTACGTGTATGCTAAATTCCATCGAAATCCGTCGAACAACAAACATCCATCCATATAAAACTCTCGCATTTATATTACTAGCTTTCGCACGCGACCGCGTGGAATTAAAAAAAACTGAGTAGCCTATGTGTTCTTCCAGAGTATCTACACCAAATTTACTCTACATCTATACCAAATTTCTTCGGAATATAGTTAGCTGTTTAGGCTACAAACTCTAACAAACATCCATCTATCTAAACTTTCGTATTTATAACATTAGAAGTATAATCAATGTAATCAGAAAACAGGTAAAAGTTAGCTTCTGTTTTAGCGCTATCATATCATCCAGTCTTATCCACGTTATTGCATAAACAACTTTTAACAACGATTGTGGCCAAATTACTTCTAAAACTTTCAGTACAACCGCTTATTTGACGTTATCTTTATATTGCCTCATAAATTCACTTCTAGTTCGTTATACCTTGCACGCGAAAACCAACTCTATTACAATACTAATAAAGAATATAACTTTGGTATCGAACTTGGAATATCTGGCGATGAAACAATCATCACTGTATTGTGAAACGATTACTTAATGTATTTGTTAATAGTTATTTGGAAGATATACGACTGGCCTTGTGCTAACATCGACAAATAAAAATTATCAGTTTATTAAAACGAATCGTATAATAAAAAGATTACTACATATATAATTGGTTGTATAGAAAACATACAAATGTTTACTTTTATATATACTCTACTAAGAGCATGTCCCACTACTGGCTGATAGAGGCTCAGATAGCTTAAAAATGACTTTCAGATAAGGTAACAAAATCCGATATTGCCATCACATGATTTACACGTTGGATTGTTATCAGGCAATTTACAATTTGGTGGGACAGGCTCTTACTAATACAATAAATGTAAAAGTTTAGATAGATCGATGTTTGTTAGAGTTCTTAGCCTAAACGGCTGAACAGATTTCGATGAAATTTGTCATAGATGTAGAGGACAGTCTGAAAGATCACATAGGCTTATTTTTTTTTAATTCCATGCAAACGAAGTCGCGGGCGAAAGATAGTAAAACAATAAAAATCGTGTATCTTATAAAGAATGTTTAAGGCCTTTAAATGTTCTTTTAGTTATTCCGTACTTATAAATCTCTAATTTCTATTACGTCTAAACTAAATATGCAGTAAAGTTTGTCTATGTACAAAGCTATATTTTGTACAGAAACTTATCAAAGCTCTCGCTCGTCGCTGAAACTTCGTCCTGCTGAAATTTTTAAGCGCGTTTCCCCTTGATTTAACTCTAGTAGTAAATATATGCTAAAATTGTATGCAGTGCTTCTAACTTCGTTATATGTGTACAATTAAATATAGTTTAGTGAAACAAAAATTTCATTAAATAAAACAATAACCCAAAAAAGCGAAAAACATTAAAGTAAAGAGGAGGTACAATCGCGGAAATCCGCGGTGTTCCACTTTAGGAAACATTTCCTTGTTCATTGCAACAAGACAAACTCTGCCTTCCTACAAATTGCTAATTAGAAGAGTGTAAATGAAGGGATAATAATAAAGAGAAACTAGCCGTGTATTCCTAACCGAATCTTCGCACAGATACATTTATAAGCTGCGTTGTATTGTTTGTCCGCGTCTAGTTTCAAAAAATAATTGTACCTTATAAAGAACACCGCCAGTTTCCTCGATTGTACATTACGAAATTAACCAGGAAAAAGGTAAGTTTAATCCTAGATGTGATGTCATTAAATATATGCAAGTTATACGGATTAAATCATGTCATATAATTAGAGGTACCTATGTCATCATCGTTACGCCTATGACGTCATAGTCCGTTCTGGACGATCTCTTCTGAGAAGTACGAAGGTAACGCTGGGGCCTTTCCGCTCACCGCATTTATTACAATAACTAATGATTGAATTAAATATATTGCCTTGTTGATATTCTATTAACTACTAGTTAGCCCCCACTCGCACTGACGTTTTTATAACGCGCGTTAAATATCTGTTCAAACAGGAGCGCTGGAAAATCTAAGAAAAATTGCGTTTTGAGCACTGGGCATCTAGAACAAGAGTGAATTTAAATGGTTTGTATAGCGAGCGTTAAAAAATCGCCTGTGCGAATGAGGGTTTAAAACTGGGTTTCGATTGCAACGAAATATAGTTTAGTTTTAATAAAACATAGGTTTTATGAAGAAATCTTATGATGTTAGGTCCGGGCCTTCGTATTTTAGAATAATATTAAAATGTCCTTGCTCGTCAAGTACATCGTATACAGTAAAGTCCAGCAAATTAGCTCTTACTATCATGGATAAAACTGGAAAGTTTATTTTTATGAACGGCGAAACTCTCGAAAAGTGACCGTTAGGTTAATTAGCGAAATCGTTGCGGAGATGTGTTGTAGTGATTATTAATTTAATGTACGGTGGTATTACATTTAGAAGCACTTAAGTTTGCTTTTCAGCTCGTAAAAACATTGCCTTCCACTAATTTGTTTATACCGCAGCTAAATTGTTTTGATCCTTACTACAAATTGAGTTTTTATAACGAA